CATGTTCTTTACCTTAAACGTTTCATTGTTACCTATTTTATCCTCGAATACATTACTAACTTAAGCATTAGAGGGGCGTTAGCTAGACTAACGCCCACTCTTAGCTAACGTTTGTTATGCAGAACAACATACAACTAACGATCTCCATAAGCAATAATCCTGAAACTTAAGGATCTTCAAGGTTAAAGATCCTGAAACATAAGGATCTTGACACATGAAGATCTCAGCATCTTAACACTTAAACAACTCCATTATACCATTGGTATGATCTTTAAACTATCATATACATAAGCTAGAGACTGATAATCTCTCCTATGCTTAAGGGTACTTAATCCCCTATAAGGTTTGAAGAGCTAATTACCTCTTTCACACAATTTAAGGTTTATAATCCTCGCTTGAACGCACAATATCTAACTATGGGATATGAATAAGGGGATCATTTCACGATGCAGTGACTTGGGAAGCCTCTTATCTTTGAAAATAAGTTAAAATCCTTAAGGTTTATAACATTTTCATGTTATCTGAAATTGGGATCTTACCCCAGAAATTACATAAGTTTTATAACATCTTCATGTTATCACACGTTGGGATTTTTCCCCACAAAATACACATGAATCAAAATATTTTCATGATATCATAAGTAAGGATCTTTCCCATGAAATATGTCACAAGTTGGGGATCCTCCCCAGTACATAACATTAAAATGTTACCAATTGAACTTATGATGCTACCCAAGAACTTTGTTAAGGTTTGTAACCTAAACAGGATTTCCTAAAAAGAGGGAATTCCCCTGTATGACCTAATGATTAAGGATCCTCATCATCAAGGATCCTCATCATTAAGGCTCCTCATCATTGCAGATCCTCATTGTTAAGGATCCTCATCATTAAGGATCCCCATCCTTAAGGATCATCATCATTAAGGATCCTCATCGGTATGGATCCTTATAAGTAAGAACCTAATCATTAGCACTATCCTACTACATTCCAGGATCCTGAATGCTAAAGATCTCCCGCCAACTTAATCTTAGCCTCCAGGATAGCCATCGTAGCACTTGCCTTCGCATTGACAATAACCTCCTCAAGCTCCGTAGAATACTCATCCTCATTTTCAGCATTCTGTTGCTCAACAACTCCACCCTCCGGTGAAGATCCTCATTGGTGGTCCTCTAGATTTTCTCCTGCTTTTTTATAGCAAGCTCAACTTTCTCTGTACGGATCCTGAGACTGTTGTTGAACTGAGAAACATGAGTGGAGACCTCAAAGAAATGCAAACATTAGCAAAAGGAGAAACATGTATGCTAAACTAACATAAATAATTCTTATACACATGAAACTTACAGCTTGGGCAAATGAGGTCAAGTTCCTAAGAGCATCCTTGATGTTGAGGTTCTCTAGGTTGGAATCTATGGCCTCAAAGGTCTTCCTCTTTCGGGATCCTGGATTCTTCAGAACCATGTCAAGCTGGGATTTCTTTGAAGAAGGCAGAGCAGAGGGCTTCTCCTTCATGATCCTGACCAAGCCACTTGTCATGTCATCCTTAATATCAGAAAAAGCAAAGCGAGCAATCGAGCAGACGATCCTGGAACCTGTATAAGAAACAAGAATCCTGATAAGATCGAAGATCCTAAGACAACAATTCAAATCAAAAAGAAAAAAAAAGATATACCTATGACCATAGAAGTTGTGTTGGATGATCCTTCTTGGAGACTGGATTGATCAAGTCTAAGAGATCTATCTGCCTTCGGGAGAGAAAGAAAATTAACAATCTTATCCTATGTGTCCTTAGCAGTAGCAACGTGCTCCTCGAGCTTGAAACCTATAACAGAAAAAACAAAAAAAGAATAAGATTTCAAGATTACAAGGAAAAGTATTGAAACCCTACCCTTCTTAACCAAATCTTTGCGTAAGAGATCTCCGCGAGAATGGAGTCATGCCTAACAAAGAAGTATCTTCCCTTCCAAGCCCCATCATTGTGTTTTGTTTTAAACACAAGAGGAGGCTTGCTACTCTTGACCTTGACCAGGAAGCAAGAATTGCGAAAAGTTGAAAGATCATATACATGGGCCAATTCAGCCAGATCCTTGTCAAGATCCTGTGTCTGATTTAGACACTCAACCTAGTAGAGGATCCTTCAACTGATAGGCATCACTTGGACGAAAGAAAGTTTTGTGATCCCGAAAAACTCCGAGACCACTCCGAAAAAGGGGAATTTAAAGCCTAAAATAGAGAAGGGGTATTCCGGAAAGCACACCTAAGATGGGGAGATGAAGTTTGGTTGGATCAAAGGGTCATAAGGCCTCAATACTGATTCAGAAGGGAATGCATCACTAGCCTTTAATGCTTTGATATCACCATCATCGAAAGAGAAAGTCTCATTATAAGACAAGTTTCCTTGATAGATGAAATCGTCCTCAAGAAGATCAAGGATCTTCTTGGAAGAAACAGTCATCTTTTTACCCATTATCAAAAGTTTGGTAAAAAGGAGATGAGGCAGAGAGGATGTTAATTTTATCAAAATCACCAATCGCACAAGGAAAGAAAAGAAAATCAAGATGATTAAAGAATTGGGGAACTGGTTACCTCTTTTTATACTAAGGATTTGAGGTTGATTTGACCATTGACAACTAGTTATCCGGTCAAGGGTTAATTTTGAGAATTACTTTTCTCTCTCCTTTTACCTCTTTAATATAAGTTATCCCTTTAATATTCTCGAAATTAACTCCTATATTTTCAGGAATAACTTGGGGGCAATTGTTAGGACCAGGATCCTAAAAACATTCACGATCCTTAAACCTCATAAAATATTCAGGATCCTCAACTATCTCAGGATCCCGACTATTATCGTTATTTTTACTTACTAGCATTTATAACGGTTGTATTTCGTTCTTAATTAACATATGTGCAGAAATAGTCAAAAATCAATAGAGTTCTGTCTCAACTATGCTAAACACCCGGAATACCAAGTCAATCAACATTCACAAAGCTGGTCATAGAGGATCCCGAGAATATCAGACATCTTGTTAGCTAGTTTAGACTACAAACTGACACATGTATCTCGCACATGACACACTACCGCCTCTTAGCTTACTTTAGGAACTTTTTCACTTGTTCTTACTAAAATACTCTTTGTAATTGGCATTTTATATTAATAAAATCATCAAGGTAGGTGATCATTATCACCTCCCAAGGTTTTGTGTCGGAGATCCTAGGAAGGAGCAAGGCTTTCCTTGTAAACAATCGTGTCATTCTATTTACCTTTTTCTAATACATAATTCAAACATCACAACCTCTCATTCAATTTGGTTGATTTATACTTGTTTGATTTTGACCAACACATTTAACTTCTAAAACAGCCTTAACCCATCAAGACTAACCAAAAGGGGACAAAGACGTATAAAACCACAACAAGAAGAGATCTAAGTAAGGAGAAGACAAGGTATGAACCTCATACCTTAAAAGACTTGGAAAAAGAGTGATAATTCTGGATTTCTAAGCTTCACACTAAGCAATACACCTTAAATCTTCTTCAATCCCTTCAAAATGAGCAAAATAAGCACCAATTTCTTCTCAAGAGCTCAAAGACACAACAATGGAGGCTAAGGGTTGAAATTTAAGGTTTAGGAGGTATGGAGGCTGGTAAAAAGGCGAACCCTAGGGACTTAAGTAGTTTATATAGGATGAAACACCCTAAAATTAAGGTTTCATTAATCCCTCGTACGCCCAACGCAATCCTCGTACATCCAACGTGCAAGGCCTCGACCCCGCGATCAATCCCACTTAGTACGGTAAGCATACCATGTGTTACGCACCACGTACTAGCTTCTCAGCTAGTACGCTAAGTGTACCCAATGGTACAACCCGCGTACTAACTCTAAGGATCAACATGCAATAATTAAATACAAAGGGGCTAAGAGGAACATACCCAAATCCAAGTGTTACATGCAATATGTGTAATTTGGTAATTGTTAGTTTATGAAAGTACAATGCTATAATGGTATTTTGTAGTTTGGCGATTATTAGTTATATTACAATGCTATATTTTGTACTTTTCTTGTATGTGGAATGTATATTTTGTATACAAAATGTAATAATGTTGGTTTAACTTATAAGACTATGTTGTTTTCTTTGTAGTTGGACATGCTTCAAACAATGTTAAAAGATCCGACATGTAGTGTCACACTTGATTATTGGTTTTGTTCATTATCACAATGAAATGAAATATGAGGAAATGAGGAGAGCGATGATGACGAGTAGCGAATTGTAGGATTTTTATAACATTTTGTTTGTGTAAGTATTTTAGACTAGTATTTTGAATATTTTGCATTATGTTAAATTGTACGAGTATTTTGAATGGATGTTAGATTAATATTTTGGAACGGAAGAATGTATGATTAGATTAATTAATATCACAACAGTTTTTATACTTTTTATACAATTTTTTAATTTTAATATGAAATACGAAAAAAAAAATCAATAATGACAACGCCTTTAGTGGTGACTAATGATTATTAGCGGCGACAACACTTTAAAGGCAATGTCCGCTTAGTAGTGGCGACGGACCTCTAGCGGGCGACATTTGAAGTATTAGTAACAAAGAATTAGCGGCAAACTTTTAACGACGACACGTCGCTGCTAAAAGTATTAGCGGTGCCAAAGACCACTTTTAACGATGACATCTGTTGCCGATAATACTCTAATTTCTTATAGGGAATAAAGAGACTTCAAAATTATCCTTCAAAGAGTATGTAATTTTTGAATATATTATGTTAAACAATTTCAAAAGTTTAATTTGCAAGTTTGCTTTTTATTCTGAATTTGTCTGATATTAATATAATTTTAATAATAATTTTAAATATAGTAATAAATTAAGTTTCTTCAACTCCCTTCTCCTAGTTTAATTTACAACCACATTAGTGAATACTATTTTGATTTCATTGGCTTCTTTTTTAAGTAGGGGTTTTATTTCCTGATATTTTTCCTTTGTTGGTTAATCCATAAATGGGATATGACTCATTATCCACCGTTTTGTTTCCCAGTAGCATAGCTCCACCACACCACCGACTTGGTCCATGGATAATCAATACTACTTTTTATTTGGCAAACACGTCGTCTTCTTCTTTTCCTACCGCTGCCACCATTGCCACCAGATGCTTCTCTTGCAGTTTATTCCCTCCCTTATCTCCTATCTCTCTCTATCGGGTTTACTTGCTCCACCGTGGTCACTGCCACCCCATAAACCCTAAAATGTTTCTTTTTTACCACCGTCTCTCCATTGCCTCCTCCAATGGACACCCTCCTGAGTTCCACAAGGGAACATCGGCAATAAGGATGATGACCCTCCCTATTGGTGTTTGGATTTTGGGTATATTGTCTCTTGCATCTATTTGATTTCTAGTTTCTCTTTGTTGTTGTTTGGATGACTCTTTCTTCTAGTACATTTGAATTTAAAAAAAGAATATAATATATATATATATATATATATAATATATATATATATATATATATATATATATATATATATATATATTTATAGAGAGAGAGAGAGAGAGAGAGAGATATGTCAATTAGTTCACAAAGAAAATCATCAATAGGATTGCAACATTATTCCAAAGTCATTAGTTGATGAGTTCCCTTCTTGAGATTGATGCTACATCTATATAAAACGTTCTTCTATCATTGACATTCGACAATTTCTAGATTTAAAGTCCTTCAATTCTAAATGGATTTGTATTTGTGTTCAAATTATGGCGTTGACTTTTACTTTCCCAATGGTATAATTTTAGGGAAGTGATTTGTACACAACAGTTTTTTTACCGTACACAACAATTTATGCATTATAGAGTTGTACAATACAACACTTTAAAGCACAAATTGTTGTGTAAGGAAAAAAAGTGTTGTGTACGAATCAGTTCCTTTTGGTATGGGGAGAAGATGAAGGCTGAGGAATAACATGATGTAAATTACACTTTTAGCCGTTTAATAATTGACTTACCAAAATGTTTGAAAGAATACACTTACATGTGAAGTTTATATGATTAAAACGACAGGCTGTTTTATGGGAGTTTCAAACTATGAGTCAACGGTTAGGGCTAGCATGTAGCTTTTTTATATATATTTCAAGTGTTGGTCTATAAAAGAAAATAAAAGGCTAGTTATCTTTTATCAATATTCCTGTCTCATTTTCTCTACACCTCCAGTATGGTATTGAAATATTCCCAGTATTCTACTCAAGTGTTGGAACAAGAATCCCTCAGAAAGATACTCCAATCATGCATTAGATATTTAAGACTCTCAGTTATCTTTTTATGCGGTATTTCATATTACTTCACAGTCCTATTTCTATCTCGTGATCGCCCCACCATTTCAGTTGCTGATTTGTATGTTTCTTCGCTAAACCAAACCTCCACTTCGTTGACTAACACCACCACAATCTCTATCGACCTCAAATTCCAGAATGAGAATTTAGGTGTAGGGATTTACTACGAAGATCCTCTAAATCTCACCATCACTTATATCCCACAAAACATAACCAATTTCATCACTATTCAAGGGTTTTATCAAGGCAACGGAAAGATTAATCATATCCAAGCCTCCACAGTTGTTCAAGACATATTCTCAAACGTTGAACAACATAGGAAACTGGGAGAGAAGCAAGTTTCATTGTTTGGTGCAGGGAAAGTCATTGATTTCATGGTAGATTTGGAGGCGAAAATAAAGTTTAAGTCGATTGAGAACAAAAAGTCAAATCTTATGGTCAGATCTGCTGTGGAGGTCAACGGTAACACTGGGACGTCTGTTCTAAAGACCATTGAAATGAAGTATGCTTCTGGATCGAATAACTGGGGAGCTGTGCAATGGCTACTATTCTTTCCTTTGTTTATTTCATTTGTGGTTACTACTTTCATCTCTGCTTTGATCCCTTTACTATTAGTGCTTGTTTTTGTATTTTAAAGTTTTAGTTCCTGTTTTTTATGGTTTGCATTTTTAACCCTTATATGATGAGTTTCCTTGTCTTCTTTGTATGATAATGTTTCCAACATAGTTTAGATCAAATACGAGTAATGATATTATCTAAATAAATTAAATCCTTTGCATATATGGATTCACTAGTCTTTGAGTTAATATTGGTTTATTGTCTTTTCCGAGAAAGTAACCTCCTCCGGTGCCGGGGAGTATGATGACGTCATTGAGGAAAAAAATGAAGGCATTTGTAGTTTAGTTCGCATTTAACATTTTTTAGAAAGTAAAAACCAACAGAAAATTGTATTTCAGAAAAACAATATTCAGTCTTTAAATTTTCATAAGATATATGTTAGATTAAAAAAAGATTTTTGGTCGTTCATTAATAATTTTTTTTTTTTTTTGAAATTTTAAATCCAAAAACTTTTATTTTTGCTAAATTTGCTCTTATTCTAAGTTTCATAATAGTGTTGATCCCGGTGGGAGGTAGGTGGGGATTAGTCTTCAAAAAAATTAATTTATATATATAAAAAATATTATTTATAAACATGTTTCATGTTATTATATTCCAACTAAAAAAAATATAACATATTTTTAATGTTTAATATTGAATAAATATAATATATTGATAATTTTTATATCCAATATAAAAATTTCTAATTCCACCACTGGTTGATCTCTTTGTTTCTTGGAATAACAGTGTAGCAGCTAAATGTCTAAACACTATCAAATGATCTTCTAAAAAAGTTAAACTTCTTAAAATGACGTTTTGTTTTTGGATTCTTGGAACACAATGTAAAAGTTACTATACCAAAATTTTAATTATCTTCTATTTTCACATCGGGTTTATAACTTTTTCTACGTCCATAATGATATTTTTTTATTATAATTTTCTTGTTTATTAACTAAAAAAAATCTATTTGTTATGTTTTTCAACGATCATCACATTACCTAATCATGTACAAGTGGATTGGTTCACGATTGTGATTTTTTTATAAAATAATCCAACATTATTTGTACTTTTGTACATATAATTAGCCATTGTCTCCTGGTATATAAGACACTTAAAATATGAATATCAATTCTATTACACGGAATATGATTTGCGAGCATAATTATCTTTTTGTCTTGTTCACGTTTATGTAACTTCATTTTTTTTGTATATATATATTTGATCATTTAACTTGTTAAATGTGTTCACATATTAACAGTGTTGTAAAAATATCAACTAGGTCCCGATTAATCTCTAGGCGCTAGTCGACCGATTAGAGGACGCCTAACAATTAATCCATGCATACACAATGAGTGAAAGAGTAGAACCCGATGAAATTTGAACACTTTCAACAAGTTATATCTTAATAGAAACTATTTGATGTATGGCTAGTGTTGTATTCATCATATTAACCTATTTTGCTATGATATTAGTGATATTTACGAAGTTTTATATGATATTAGTCATACTTAATTTTTGAAAATTTAATAAATTAGAAATTAATGGTTTCCGATTAATCTGCCAATTAATCTCTGCCTATCCGATTAATCCCTTAACCCTAATCTACTGACTAACTAACGTCAAACGATTTTTACAACACTGCATATTACCATTGTCATCAGTTATAGTAAGTAACAATATTAATATTTGAATATATTTAACAAGTTAAATATTTAAATGTATAGTAAAAAAAGAAAATTGTTTAAATGTAATACTTTTATTTATAATTTCTTACAACATTTTTATGATATATTTTTCATACAAGTTTTTCTAATATAATGTTTTAAATCTTTGTTTATAATTTTTTTTTTTAACTTTTTTATTCTTTTATGTAATTTTAATACAAGTGCTTTTAAACTAACTATTTTATAAATATTTAAAATTTTTCTTACAATTATTTAACTTGTTTTGTTTACATTTTCATATATTTTTTTGTAACTTTCATACATGTATTTCTGAACTTTTTTTTTATAATATTTTTAAAGTGTTTCACAAATTTTGTATGATAGTTTAACATTTTTTTATAACATTTTAAAATACTTTCGTTAAATATGAGTTTAAAATTTTGTATTACATAAGTTAAAAGTTTATAAACTTCTAATTAAAAAGTATTAAAAGGTTGGAATAATTTTATTACATTTACATTATATAGATTTTTTTTTGTTTTTTTATTTGCTAAGTAATATATTTTTTTAAAAGAACCTCCATAGTTATTGTTACATATTTAATTTATTTAATTTTATTGTTAGACAATATTTACTTTAAAAATATTGTATATGTCTAAAAACAAAATAAATAAATGATAAGAGGCCATATAAAATATTTTACAAAGCAAAAACATATTTATTAATTGAAAAGTAAGTTTAAAATTCAACAATATTCAATTAATATTTAGGAAATTATAAAAATTTTAAAAATAGCGCTTGAATTAAATAACCCAAACAAATATGAAAAATAAAATCGTTATTAGAAGTGGGGAAAACAATTTACCTAAGTAATCAACCTTTTTTTTTCACATTTAGACAACTTTCATTTTTCATACACATTTAACTATTTAACTTGTTAATTTGCTCACATATTACCATTATCACCTGTTATATACGGTGACATTGATAATATGCAAACATATATAACAAGTTAAATAGTCAAATATGTAAAAACATAAAGAAATTAACTAAATGTGAACAAAGATATAAAAATGATTACCCTGATAAGTCATTTTCTCTTTATTCTATTAATAAATGAATCCTACAATGCCAAATGGCTCAATTTTACACTAGAATTTTGCAACGCCAAATGGCTCAATTTTACACCAGAATTTTGCAACATGACATCTTTGCTTTAATTATGTATTCTACTTTCCCCCTACTACGTTGATTCATATCAATCTCTTCCATAAAATCAGGATTACCTTTTTCGAATTTATATTACCATTTCCCATATCCATAAATCTAGCAAACAACTACTATAGATCCATAAATCTCACCAAACCCATTAATCGTTCTATTATCCAACGTTTTCAAATCAAAATCTGGTCTGTCTTCTTCAAGATTCAACACCAAATATTCCCCATCATCTACGGGCAGCAACTACAAGGAGATTTTTTCATCATCTTTTACTTTAAATATTATGTTATCTCAGATCAAATTTATATCTCTTTGGTTGAACCTAAACATATATGATGATATAGGCTTACACATTTAGGGTAGTGGTAGTGAATCGGGTTTTACAATGATGCACTCATGCTCCTGGTCAAAAGAGTACAAATGTAACATCCCCATTTTAATGGCCAGAAAAGACCGATTTTGTTTATGCTTGTTTAAAAATCAGAGTAACATTTCAAAGAAAAGTGTTGCGGAATTTGTTCCCAAAAGAAAATATGATAAAGATTTATCAAAGCATATCCGAAGAAATGTCTTTCATTAAAAACCTCGGGATGTCATGTTCAAAACAGATCAAAAGCATAAACAATACAATATAAGCCTTACTACATTATTTCATATTTACAGGCCTCTAATCCGTAATCCCTCATCCCAACATCATATCTATGCTCGTGTGCCACTACCTGTAATACAAGAAACTCAGTGGGTTAGACTTGGGAGCATGGTGAGCACATATGGTTTTCAACCCATAATAAATAAATTTATTAACTTTATCAAACCAAGCAAACCTGATTACCCGTTCCCGTTATCCTCACTTTACGTCCCTAAAACATCTAACACAAGGGACCTAGTCTAAGGACTTTCATCGGGGTGACAACACTGCTTCGGGGGTTACTCAACAATCTATGTCAAATAAGGCAACCATGTTGGGGATGGAGTACTGCTGGTGAACACTAAGTTCAAATAAATACCTACATGTTGTGAGCCTGCTAGCGTTCCACTAGACTATCTAAAATAATCTATGGTTGTCATCTATACTCTGCTAGATGACTTGATCATCTTAAAACATTGAGGCCACTCATCATTTCATCACACATCATCTATTACATCTACCCATGTTTTACCCAATACATTTTGTATATATAAAATACATATACAGTTTAAATCATAAAAAACATGTATAAAAATCGTTCATCGAGCATAGATGGCAAGTATATAGACAATATGCACACTTAGCACGTAATTTATATAAAATACTTCATATCTATGTGTAAGATGAAAGTAACTATGCATTCACTTATTAAAGTGACAAATTGAAATTTGACAGCGCTTCGCTTCTGAACAATATGATTTCCTTCGACGAAACCTAGTACTATTACTACTAGATTTTAGTCTAATATTTATTGCAACTAATTATTAGTCTAGATTCGTCATTAACTCAGAGTCTACTTCATGATCTATCAAGCAAGGAACAATCAGGTAGGATCATATCGGAGGTAGGGTCCGTTTGGTATACAAAGTATAGTGTTTGGAAATTCCACTTTAAACACCTCATTAAATCACAACCTTGACATCATTCCCGTAAGTAGATCAATCAGTATAACGACTTTGAATCACTGATAAATCTTATTTATAGGTTCATAATAACTATATTATATTTATATATAAGCTAAATTTGAAGTATGGCAGTCGTATCTCACTTACAACGGATTTTTATTAAAACCAGGCTTCGCTGGAGCAGCATTTCCGAGCCGAAAAGCTCTTCTTCTCGGAGCCGTCGAGCGCTCTGGGGATTTCTTCTAGCGCTAGGGGAGTTCCTTAGGGCCTAGGTCGGGGGGGGGGGAGGTTTAGATAAAGAGAGAGAGAGAGAGAGAGAGAGAGAGGAAAGAATGGGAAATGTGTGAACAAATGAGGGTGCAAGGGGTTGTATGGGGTGTGGGAGGTTTAGAGAGAGACAGAGAGAGAGAGAGATAGAGAGAGTAGAGAGAAGAAATAATGGGAACTGTGTGAACACATGAGGTTGCAAGGGGTTGTATTTATAGGATGAAATATGGCTCATCTTTGTGTCACATGTCACCATCTGGTGGCAAGCCATGGGGAGAAAGCAATGGCCAGGA